CCATCAGAGCAATAGCAGCAGACCTCCTGTGTAACTCTAAACTGTTCAGCTTGACAAAGGAGTGTGCTTCCGCCCATAGAGGTTATCGCATGCTCTGAAATGTCACTATGCATGCTGGTTGCTGACGTCATCATGCTGACGTCATCACGCCGACGTCACGCCTCAATGTGCGTTCCAGATGCCATTTAAGTGAGGTTACACATGCCGGCCGGCTTCTTCCTCCTGTCACCACGCTGCTCCTGGGCGCAGACGCGGATGTCCGATACTGGAACACAGCCGGTTCCTTAACTCTCTTGGATATTTACCCAACATATGCCTGTTTTACTACTGTTACATGTGAGTGTTCCCACATTTGATATTTATTAAAGTGGTTCTGCTGCACTTAGAGGCGCTTCTTCTTTTTCTTTCTCATCACACAGCGTTCTGCTACAATACTTTATGAAGCTTGCCCAAAGTGCTCCATGGACCTTCCTATTTGTATCCAATGGACTTTTTATAATCAGTTTGGTCAACTGATGGTAGTGTTTGCGCTGATTATCTTTTCTCTGTTTTTCTTGTTTGCACATTTTTAAGGCTTGATAAGTCTGGCATCGATTCACTCAAAACATGCAACCGCATCTTTTATATTTGACCCGGAAATTGGGTATTACATTACATCTGAGTGCACTAAGATTCCTTTGATTGAATTTCTCCTTCTCCTGAAGATACAGATTTGATAAAACCAATGACGCCGATATCTTATGTCATACAAAAAAAAATCGCAGCTGTGCCATTTTATTTTACAGCGTCTGTTTTCAGAAAATCTATAATGAATGTGCACTTCAACATGTGTGCAAAAAAAAAATGTCTGTCAAAAGGACTAAAGCACATGTGCCAATAGCTCGGAACATCGGTCTTCAACATTATCTGTCAAAGTTTATCCTCCACAGTCACTGAGCTTTTATCTGTTTTGAGCCGATGTCTGCTGTAATTGCCGATTCTTCCACATCCAGCCATACTGTTCAGCAGACAACGCTGTCCCTGACTCAGCTGGGTTATGAAAGGGTGACATGGAAGTTAAACTTGCTGACCAGCCTGGTAGAATAGCCATGGACTGGCAGATGTCTCCCAGAAAAATGCAAGCATGGGAAGATCTGCTACACCATCTATAGCACCAAGTCCCATCACTTTCTTAAATTGATTTATTATTATTATACAGTATTTATATAGCGCCAACAGTTCGCTCAGCGCTGTACATTACAATGGGAGACCGAACATGCGACAGTACAATAACAATACAATGTGATACACAAGGAGTTCGAGGGCCCTGCTCCTTGGAGCTGACAATCTAGGAGGTATATAAACTCTCCGTTTTTAAGCACTTTCAGCGGCTGATTCAGTGACTTACTGAGTCTGCAACTTCTTTATCATTTTGATCCTTGTCGGTTTCAGTTTTAACCACTTGTCTACCAGGTCAATTCTGACGTGAAAATCTGCATTTTCTTGCTAGAAAATGACTCCGAACCCCCAAATATATTTATTTTTTTAACCACTTCCAGTCCGGACACTTACCCCATTCCTGTCCAGGGCAATTTTCAGCTTTCAGTGCTATCACACTTTGACAATTGTGCCGTCATGCAACACTGTACCCATATGAATTTTTTACCATTTTTTTGAGACCGATAAAGCTTTATTTTGGTGGTATTTATTCACCGCTGGGATTTTTTTTTTTTTTGCTATGTAAATTAAATAGTCCAAAAATTTTGAAGAAAAGTGTTTTTCTTATAAAATATTGCAAATAAATAGTATTTCATCATAAATCTTGGCCAAAATGTATTCCGTTATATTTTTAGTGAAAGAAAAATAACCCAAATTAGTTTATAACCAAAAATTATAATTTTTAAACATTTTTTTTTATTACCTTTTTTTAAAATTGTTTTATATTTTTATTTTTTTTTTTACATACTGTCACCCTAGCAGTACAGTGACACTGTACTACTTGTAGGGGGGTGATGATTTTTTTTTTTTTTTACACCCATAAAGGCCGTAAAAGCAATAATTTCTCCTTCTCTCTAGCTGCATTCCTGCAGCCATTGAGAACTACTGAGTGAGCTGTGATTGGTCACAGCTTGTCACATGGTACAAGGCTGTTGTGAATAGTCTTGTACCATGTGACCTCTGATCATCCACAGATTTCACACGTAGTAAGCAATGATGTCACAAATGACATCTTGCTTACTACTCTGCATGCGATCACTGATTGGCCAATCAGGGATCACATGATCAGGACCTTGTACAGAGGTCCCATCCGACAATCTGTGTTTCACTGTGTCCGGAGGACACAGCGGGCACCGGATCGGGGTGCTGCACGCGAGAGGCCATTTATAAACGGTCACCCGACCCTGCACTGCCACCGTCCGGCCGTTTATATACAACGGCTGGGCGAGAGGTGGTTAAGCACTTTCAGCTGCTGATTCAGTGATTTACTGAGTATGCAGCTTCTTTATCATTGTGATCCTTGTCTGTTTCAGCTAAACCACTTGTCTACCAGGTCAATTCTGACATGTAAAAATCTGCATTTTCTTGCTAGAAAATGACTCAGAACCCCCAAAATATTTATTTTTTTTAAGCAGAGGCCCAAGGGAACAAAATAGTGAGCATTTACATTTTTCTATTTCACAAAATATTTCTGTAGTGTTTTTTTTTTTTTGGGAATAAAACCAAAACACTTTATTACTGCTAGGGATGCACCAATATATCAGCGGCTGAAATGTATTGGCTGAAAATAGTGTTTTTGGCATTTTGCCGACAGGAAAAATGGTGCAGATAATGGCCATTGAAAACACGTGATTTTGCCACGTTTAGGGTGTGCATAGGTCATGCAAAAAAAAAAAAAAAAACAAAAACACAGCAAAACGAAATTTTTTTGTTTTTGATGGTTTTTCAGCCCTGGTTCACAGCGTTTTCAGTGCGAATTCCACAGCGGATCAGACTCGCACCCTGTTCATGCGAACCGATGCGGGTGTGTATGTTCAGTTAACACCCCAAAAGCGGTCCGCTAAATGCGGTGTGATGTGCAGAATCTGATCGCATAGGTGTGAATACCCATGCGATCCGATTCTAGTGCGAACCAAAAAAGGGTCCTGCACGTTTTTTGTGCGGTGCAATTAGAGCCATACAAAATGTATGGCTCCAATCGCATCGCATGTGATTTGTACAGGAATGTGGTGCGGTTTGCATTTTGTCTGTTTTGTAGTGCATATTTTATGCATTTATGGATGCATTTTGTGTGTGTTTTTTTTTTTTTTTTTTTTTCATTTTGTTTTTTGGTCAACTTGTTGCTGAGCAGATTAAAAAAACAAAACGCATCAAAAAACACAACGTGTGCCTTTTTTATGCATTTCCAATGCATTACAAGCCTGGTTCACACCAATGCAGTTTGTTTTGCAGTGTGTTTTGTGTTTTTGCATGCATGTTTTTGACATATCTTTTGATGGGTTTTTAGGGGGGTTTGGACAATTTTATGCTGAGCAGGTCAAAAACGCAACACATTTTCATTGAATTTCATGCTTGGTTCACACCAATGCAGTTTGCATTTTGTCTGTTTTCGTTTCGGTGCACCGCTGGTTATCAGACAGCCGGTGCTGTCGAGCGATTGGCTGCTGTTGCTGTGCAGCCAACAATTTTCTGGCCATCTTTATTCCTTAGATCAAAGTGTATCAAGCTGGTTCATGCTAGCAGGGCCAACCACAACTCGAAGTTCAGCCGGAAACCGATGATAATTTGAATGTGTAAGACCATCTTTGGGCAGGAGCTTTACTTCGTAAGATTACAGGATCATTTTAAAACTCTTCGTTAGTCATGTATGATTCAGTGGAGTTTTAATAGAAGTTTCCAGATCCTTTCTGTTGGTTGCCTCATCCTCTTGAGTGACAGCATTCTTGATTTTCTTTCTCTTGCATCACTTTCCTCTCATTATTTTGCTGTGAGTTGACAAGGAGCTACGGTATTTGCCTATATTATTTAGATGTCTGCAAACTCCAATATAAGATATGTATGGGGCACAAGGTTTTATGTCCACTGCATGTAAAGGCCCCTTTTATTAAAGTTACATACTTGGTAATACAGTTTTTATTTTTTTGTTAGTTTTATAAACCATGTGGGTTTTTTAATTTTTATTGATTTTTGTAATGGGGACGGGGATCCCTAACAAGCAGTTTGAAAAGAATGCTGGGTTTTTAAACAGAAAACACTAGTGGTGCACTGAAATTAAAATTCTGGTGGCAAAAACGAATATTAAAAATGCACTACGGGGGGACGGGGGCACTTTAAACTTTTGTTTTTTTTTTTTTTAATTTATTTTTTTTTTAGCACTGTCCCTTTTTAAAAACATTTTTAATCACTTTTCTTCTTATCACAAGAAATGCATGGATCTCTTGTGATAGAAATAATTAGTGACAGGTCCTCTTTATGGAGAATTGTGGGGTCAATAAGTCCCCACATCTCTCCTCTGTAATGTAAAGCATTGGATCAAAAAAAAGCATCTAGTGCTTTAAAAAAAAAAAAAATGGCCGGAATCGGAAGTGACTTCGCTCCGTTCCTCCAAGGGCATAGAGATGAGTGGAGGCCATTTTTCCTTCACTCATCTCTATGCCCAGCACTGGGATCATTCGATGGTTTCTCAGGTAAGGCTGAGAACTACCGAGGGGCGGGGTTTTTTCGGCACCTGTATTGGTGCTTTTTTCCATTTCAACCATTGGCCGAAATGTTTCAGCCACCAAAATTTCGGTGCATCCCTAGAAAACACAGCACCTTCTTGCCATCTCTATTTGAGGGCAGGGTTTCCCCATTCATTTGTTTTCAGCAAAGCTGCAGAGAAGAATATGCTTCACAAAGAATTTGCATAGAACTCCACCTTCCGGTTGCATGTGGAGCCTAGACTTTTACACCGTTGGTATTGAATGGAGATTGTGTCCTAAAATCCGATGGGTGGAAATAAAATACCTTTTCTATCCTTCTAGATGATTTTCGACCCTACAATGACCAAGAAGAAAAAGAAGAAGAAGAAGCCCTTTATGTTGGATGAAGAGGGAGAACAGCAGGTGGAGGAGACCCAGGTTCCTGAAATGAAAGAGGCAGAACCAGAACCAGTGGAGGACAAAGATGCGGATGCAGACGATGAGTCATTTAGGAAGAAAGGTGTGGTGTAATCTTGGATTGCTTCCTTTGTTGGTCACTGTTTTTGTTTTCTGGCAGTTCACTTATTTGTTGGTAGAGTTTGCATTTTCTTAGTCAATGCAATTATATCTGGGATGTGTGTGAAGTCTCTGGCCACAGTGACTGGTGTTAGTATATCTAAACATTAAAAACAAAGTCTTTGAGTGAGCTGAGTGAATAACAGGAGGCCAACCAGTCATTGCAAGAATAACTATAAACTTCAAGTAGAATCCCATCCCAAACACCAATGCTGACTATAATACATATACCTTTTTGTGATGAACCACATAAATTCCCAAAACCATATGAAAATTAAATTAAATCAAATAAACCATAAAGTGTCCAATTCAATTTCAGTCTCAAATGTGTCCAATAAAAAGTTTCAGATGTGTCCAATAAAACCCAAAATCCAGATTTTCCACTTCAATCTTCTGGGAGTATTCATATGCATAGGCTATATCATGAAATCGAATTCTTCTCATTCCTTCGCTTCAGGGGTACTCCTCCAAAGTCCTCATAGAAGTAGGAAGACTCTTAGACAGATCTCACAAATGTAGGGACAAATTTATTCATAACTTACATTTAAAATAGGAACTTCCAGTTCAATGGCTCTGTAATGGCTCTGCAAACATTTGGCTGAAAACCAATGTGTAAACAACCAACAAAATGGCCGCGGCGACACTTTCGGCGTGCGTGCGTCTTGACGTTACATCCTATAACGCGTTTCGTCACTTCCGGACTTCATCTGAAGGGATCCCTTCAGATGAAGTCCGGAAGTGACGAAACGCGTTGGGATGTGACGTCAAGACGCACGCACGCTAACCGGAAGTGTCGCCGTGGCCATTTTGTTGGTTGTTTACACATGTTTTCAGCCAAATGTTTGCAGAGCCATTACAGAGCCATTGAACTGGAAGTTCCTATTTTAAATGTAAGTTATGAATAAATTTGTCCCTACATTTGTGAGATCTGTCTAAGAGTCTTCTTCTATGAGGACTTTGGAGGAGTACCCCTGAAGCAAAGGAATGAGAAGAATCCGATTTCATGATATAGCCTATGCATATGAATACTCCCAGAGGATTGAAGTGGAAAATCTGGATTTTGGGTTTTATTGGACACATCTGAAACTTTTTATTGGACACATTTGAGACTGAAATTGAATTGCACACTTTATGGTTTATTTGATTTAATTTTCATATGGTTTTGGGAATTTATGTGGTTCATCACAAAAAGGTATATGTATTATATTGTACTTTCTAGGGAGAAAGTGTGACTTTTTGGTAGGAGTTGAGTTAAGGAGGTCATTTATATATTGACCAATGCTGACTAACCTGTGTGAGGAGGATCTGACATTACCCATAGACTCCTATGGTCCGTACATTGTTGGCACTCCTTCTCCTCTGTAGCTGCCACTGTCTGATGGAGAGGAGCCAGATCATGTGACTGGAGTGGATTAAAAATAGTTAAGTATACAGATCTTTCTTAAAGGATAATTTAATTTTTCTTTACATGTTACACCCATATTCAGGGTGTAACATGTTATGAAAGCACCGACCCCTGCCCCTCACTGATCGGCAGCTTTGATAGCTAGCAGGGATCTTCTCTTTCACCAAGCAATACATTCTAAGTTCACATTCAAGGAAAAAACATTAAATGCACATATTTTTTACAGGGAAAAGAGAGTGTGCATTTATTTATTTTTTCTCATAGTAGCCTGCAAAGCATTGCACCTGCGATCAGTGGAACGTGGATGCGATGTCAAGCTCCTGCAGACACTCCAGCTTTCTGCCCGTACCTCTGTATGGGCTTTCAGTTAGGTGTCAATGGACTAGGATTGCAGTAATCGGTGCACTTCTAGTCTGTATGCCACGGTGGAAGGACTTGTAGTTTATTCATTCACAGATCTCAAATGGCGATTTCTAAATGTGTCATGGCTACAGGGGAGAGGAATCCCCGAACATTCTTACAAGGGGTGGCTCAAGGTAAGGAGGGGGGGTGTGCTTGGGGAACATGTTACATCCTAAATTCACTCCTCCCTTGACTGCTACTGAAAAGGTTATGTAAGGAGTAATTACACATTCCCGAAAAATTGTTGTGTAACAAGGGAGTTATCCTACAGAATTTACTCATTCTGAAGTAGTACGTTTTTAGTAGGTTCAAAGGCACATTGCAAGTGCATAAAAAAAAAATAATTTACATTATTATTATTATACAGTATTTATAAAGCGCCAATAATTCGCTCAGCGCTGTACATTACAAAGGGGGACAGAACATGTGACAGAACAATACCAATACAATGCAAGACATGAGGGGATCGAGGGCCCTGCTCTTTCCAGCTTACAATCTAGGAGGGGGGGATGGTGGCACAGGAGGAGATAGCTGTGGGGGATGGGGTGGTAGGAAGAGTGGAGGAGGTCGGCAAGTTATCAGGGGGTGGGGTAGGCTTCCCTGAAGAGATGGGTTTTCAGGGTGCGCCTAAAGGAGAGGAGAGTAGGTGATCTGATGGGTTGGGGCAGGGAGTTCCAGAGGATGGGTGACACCTGGAGAAGTCCTGGAGGCGGGCATGGGAGGAGACCAGGGAACTAGAGAGAAGGAGGTCTTGTGATGAAAAGATAAAATGCTGCAAACATAAAATACCGTATTTTCCGGCGTATAAGACGACTGGGCGTATAAGACGACCCCCCTACTTTTCCTGTTAAAATATAGGGTTTGGGCTATACTCGCCGTATAAGACTACCCCCCTCTTCCAACCAATCACGGCAAGCAATGTACCAGTATTTTCTGTGCACACTGCATACAAAGCCTGCTTGGATTGGGTGGGTCAGCTCTCCCTGCCTGTCTCCAAGATACCATAAATTGCACAGAACTGCCACAGACATTATAATATTAATAATTAATTACCGTATCTCATAGAAGTTAAGGGGACAAGGTCGGATGCAGCAGTACCATACCGGTACTTCCGAGCTGACGCTTCTGCACGTCTTCGGCAGCAGTAGACGATCCCTGATCGCCATTCATCGCAGAACTGCATGAGACGTCGGATGCAGCCGTTCAGTGCTCGATTGATCGTGACTGAAACTGTGACATGCGCAGAATCACTGTGTATCCCTTCTCTGCATATCACAGTTTCAGTCAAGCTCAATCGAGCACTGCTGCATCCGACGTCTCATGCAGTTCTGCGAGCTATGGTGATCCGCGATCGTCTACTGCTGCCGAAGACATGCGCAGTAGCGTCAACCCGGAAGTACGGTAAGGTTTCAGCACAGCACCCGGCGTATAAGACGACCCCCGACTTTGTAGACGATTTCCAGGGGTTAAAATGTCGTCTTATACGCCGGAAAATACGGTACTTATTTTTTTTTTCTGTTCTTTTACATGCATTTTTTTTTAATTTAGTGTCATGGTCTCTCTAATATTTGAGAAGTAGAACTATATGCAAAACTTTTTTTTGGGGGGGTTGAGAAATGGAGGGTTTTAACTTTGTCCGTTTTTCTGTCCCACCTAGGGAGATTTCCCTTCACTTCTTATCCCATAAGCAAACAGGTAATGAGAGGAAATGCCTACAAATACTGAATCCATTGGGGCCTTCCCAGGTCACCAGAACTAGTGTCCCCATCGGAAGATTTCCCCTCTATTACAGTTTTGGGGATTTTCTTTTACTTTTGATTAATGGTTAACAAGTCAAACAGGGTGAATCTCCCTAATGTGGGCAGAGGTAGAAAAAAAAAAAAACCTAACAGGTGTTCTAATCCCTCTCTGATCTGTCCAAAACCAAAAAAAAGGTTTTTCCTTAAACCAGAACTAATTTTTTTTCACCATGCAGTGGGGCTGGATCAGTAGCTTATTCTTTCTAGGGGTGAGGACTAAATTCATACTCATCACTTGACCCACCGATCCTACGGAGAACTGCGTGCTCCCCCACGGTCCAGCGGTGGATTGTTCCTGTCTGTGGCGTGCGCATTGAGAGTGCTGACATCAGGAACAGTCTATTTTCAAGACCGCTGGACCACAGGAGGGCAGGACCTGAAAGGACAGATCTTGTGCAGAGAGGATCGGCTGATCAGGTAAGTATATCTTCAGTATCCTCTTCCCTAGAACAAAACGAGCACTTAACTTGTGCAGTGCCGGCATAGTCCCACTGCATGGGCAACAAAAAATTTCCCGGATTTCTGCTTAAGTTCTACTTTTAAGACACAGTCCACATAGATTTTGTTCCATTATAATTGCATGACTCTTGGGTGAAAACATTGTTCAATAGATCCATATGTGATTTGTAATGTACACAGTGGAAGCATAATGTCATGTGAGAGGCCTTTTGGATGCTGGGGTCCTAATAAAGAAACTGTATTCTGTCTTAGATGCTCCTGATGATCTAGATGACTTGAACTTTTTGAATCAGAAGAAGAAGAAGAAAAAGACGAAAAAGTTTGACCTGGATGAAGCAGAAGAAGGCATTAAGGTAGAAAAGACATATTTTGCCATCCTTTTCCCTGCTGGTGACCATTTGAATACGTTCTTTTAAATTGTGTCTCTTGTGTCTCAGAATCTGAAGATTGAGGGTGATGTGCAGGAGGCCTCAGAATCCCAGGAAGATGACCTGGACTTAATGCTGACAAAAAAGAAGAAAAAGAAAAATGTGAAGTTCCCTGAGGATGATGAGTTTAATGATAAAGATGAAGGTACATTTTAGAGAAAATGTCTGAAGATCTATATTGCAAATGTCTACATCGCAGACCTTTGCAAAAAGGGGCTATATCCTCTTCTGAAAATGTTAGTTGGCGGGCTCCTAAACTTTAATCTCCAGAATGCCTTCTGAATCATTGACCCCAAAGCAAGTACACCGATCAGGAGTTCTGACTTAAAGCGGAGCTCCACCCAAAAGGGGAAGTTCCGATTTAAGCCTTTTTGTCCCCCGCTCCTCATTAAGGATTGGCACCTTTTGGGGAGCGGGTACCCCAATTTGACAGGTACCCGCTCTCACGTCCGCTGCGATCGCCTAGGCAATAGGAAGTGGGAGTTGTCTCCCTGTAGTCTTCTGGGACACATGACAGGTCCCAGAAGACTACGGGGCCTTTCACAAAGTGCAGCGCTTCTTGCGCATGCGCAGTGGGCACCCGGCTGTGAAGCCGCAAGCTGTCGCAGCCGGGTGCCCACACTGAAGATGCCGGTGTCAGGGAGAGAAGACAGCCGGTGAAACCAGCCGTGGTGAGGACACCGCTGGACCGAGGGACAGTTAAGTGGCTGTATTTTAAGAGTCACCAGCTACAATGTTTGTAGCTGCTGACTTTTTTTTTTTTTTCTCTTCAGCTGGAACTCCGCTTTAATTTGTTTCATATTTGTGTCAGGTCAGCGACCAAGACAAAATCAAGGCAGTTGGCTGACTCTGAAGGTTCCATCTTACTTTCCTGCCCCTGTAACAATAGGAAGTAGGATCTCTCCAGTGACAACAGTTTGTAATATAACAAGTGAAGATTTTCCCTTCTCCACTCTGTTCAAAACATACTTAACACAAAAAAAAGCGCCTTATTAGATTTGGGTAAAATAGAACTGAGACCAGGGGAAATAAGCTCTGCTCATTTTAGTTATGTCTTAAATTTAAAGGCTTTTCAAAATTAAAAAAAAAAAAAAAAAAGTGCATATATTTTTGTAGGTAAAAAAAAAATTGGCATTTTTCTTTTTTTTTTGCCCTGCAGCTTATAAGGCAATTGCACCTGGGATAAGCAGGTTGTGGGTGCAATGCCAGAATCCCTCAGACTGTCCGCTCTCTGCATGTACCTGCAAGCAGGTGTTTGGTAACCTGATACGTTACACCCTAAATAAAGGTGTAACATGTTACCAAAGGTGAACTTAACCTTTAATCAAATATACAAAACACTCTTCTTCTTCTTACAGAAAGGGTTGAGAGGTCCTGTGTAGTAAGAACATTGTCATTGTGACACGCTTGTTGTGTGCATTAAATGTCTGTAAATACACTTGTGAACCTTGACTTGAGTTTTTTTTTTTTTTTTTTTTTTTTTTTTCTGCCAAGTTGCTGTTGCACATAAGCAGAAAGAGCTACTTGTCAAGGAGCAAGTTTATACACATTCAGGATTTATGGGGATGCTGTTTGTGTACATACTGTGATTTGTCCTGTATCTTTCAGCCTTTGAAGAAGACGACAGTAAAAAAGATGATGGAATCTCTTTTAGCTCTTCGCTTGGACCTGCATGGGCTGGCTCAGAAAGAGATTACACTTATGATGAGGTAAGTTTATTTGGAGTGGTATAAATTTATATTAAACCAGTGTACCGCCTGTAAGGCTGAACTCCGGGCAATTTTGTTTTTTCCCATGCAGTGGGGCTGTGCCTGCACTGCACAAGTTAACTGCTCATTTTTATTGGATACAAATGGAGAAACAGAAAAAGGGCGCACTGACCTAGTGCATTAACGTTTAAAATAATTTATTAAAGAAAAAAAATGGGTATCATGCTCACAATGGACATAATAACACAGGCATGTCAAACTGAACAAGATGTATGATCCAAACAACATGGAACCCTGGATGACCAACTGGCTAACGCGTTTTGAGGACACAATCTCTTCCTCAGAGCCAACTGCTCCTTTTTGGCTAGGATAGAGGAGAGGCGAGATACACTTGCCTAATCCTCTCACCACAAGACCAGTCTGGCACCCCCATGCTCCAGCAGTCTTGAATAGTAAACTGTTCTGATGTCATCATGCCCAGAGCAGGCTGAATAGACCAGGAACAGTCCACCACTGGATATGGGGGGGGAGTGTCGCTTTTTGGAGGATGAAAGGATCAGGTGAGTGTAGGTTTTGTGCTCACCACTAGACAAAACAAGATGGGCTTTAAATACTTAGTGTATTTAAAGCCAAAGTCTTCTTTTTACTTTTCTCCTGTCTGATTTTTTTTTTTCTTTTTCCATTGGGGGCTTTCTTTTCGCTTCCTGTCCTGCAGACACAAGAAGCAAGAAAATGTCTCTGAAATGAAGGGAAATCACTTATAGACAATTGTTACCAGAACAAGTGTCCCCATCGAAATATTCCTTCTCTATTCCTGTTTTGGTGATTTGTAACATTCTTGGATATCCTTTCACTTTTAATTCTGATGATATGGTCACCAGGACTAGTAGAGAAGGTAAGTCTCCCCAGCGGGCACACACAGTCTGACAGGGTTGCCAACTCTTCCTTGCTGTATCCATGTAGCGTGGATATGGCCCAGTACTGATATGGATTGGAAAAGTGACATTACATACATTGTCAGGCATCTAGACAAGCCTGTTGTATTTGGAATCAATATGTGAGTTTGAATATTATAAAGAGTGTATAAAGGACACAAGTTAAGGTGAAACTGACTGTATTTACTGGTGTTTTTATTTGGTGTTTTGTTATATGCTGACAGCGCCATGTTCCTCCTTTCCCAGTTCTGTGTTGTTGTCTTGTCATTATGGCTTCCAGTGTGGACTACAATTAGTCGTGCCGATGCACATTGCACTGTTGGCGTCATCAAGAAACGAACCCTAAGAAATACCATGTAGCTGCAAAGGCTGCAGGGAATCGACAGCACTGAGCTACATCAATTGATGAGGGGGGGGGGGGACTAAAGTATTTTATTAAAAATAAATGTCAATTGTTTGATTTAGAGTAAGTGACAGATATGTGCAAAGGCCCCCCACCCACTGATACTCAACTTGCTAGCACTATGTCAGGCATTGACAATACCCAGTGCTTTAAGGTATGACCTCCTCCCATGTGACCATGCTCTGTCTAGCAGCTGATCACTAAGTCGGAGAACTGTCACATGGCCGAGTGGATGAGGCCAGTCACCATCCAACACTGGTTATCCTAGTGCTGACTGTGTGGAGGAATTAACCTCCTTAGCGGTATTCCCAAGTGTAGCTCGGGGTAAAATGTCAGTACCAAAAGCGGTAACCCCGAGCTACACTCGGGCTTACCATGCGGCGCTGCATAGGGAATCCCTGCAGCGCTTACCTTGTCCTTCGCTCCCGCGATGTGTCCCCTGCAGCGTCCCCGGCCATCTCCTCCGGCCGATGCCGGAATCCTGTTTCCGTGTTCCGGTCCCTGTGACGTCGGGACGTACGGGCGCTGGAACCAGCGGCAAATTTGAAATTTTTTTTAAAAAAAAATTTTTTTTTTAAAAATGATTATTACATAGTAAAACATTGCTGTTTCAAAACATTTCACGTACATTTTGTCCCGAGTGCTTTGTCCTGTGTCCTGCCTGCATTTTGACTGTTCTTTCTGCCTGGAAACTTGTCCATGGCGTCCAAAAAGCGTCCCTTTTTTATGTCAAAAACGGTTTTAGACCGGCTAGAGAACAGCGATAGTAAATCAGAACCACTTGCAGAATTGAGTGATAATGATTCGTGGGGGAAATTCCTCATCAGACACTGAAAACGATTCTGCGACTTTGCTCAGCGATGTGCGAACTTGGCGCTATATTTCAAATTTCAGTGTTTTTGGTTTGATTATATTATTTAATTAAATTTATTATTATATTATTATTTTTTATGATTATTAAATCTTAATTTATGATTTTGTGTTTCAAGTTTTATCATATCCGGAATGTTTACTAGACTCTTGTTCGGACAGATTTCAGTGAGTTATTCCTAAATTACAAGCCTACAATAAAAAAAAAATACATATCTCCATGCAAAAAAAATGGTACCGCTTTCAGCACCAAAAATCTGAAATAATCATACTGCCAGGGAGGTTAAGTGGTGGTGTAGGTAAGGTAAATATCAGAGGGACACAGAAAAAAATGGCAGTTGACTAGTGCATTACCGCCTACAAAGTGGTTAATTAAATCCCATGGGGAGTAGTAATCACTACAAAAATTCAATGCAATATTGTATTTATTAGATCACATGGATCATAGAAAGGTTGACATTAACATGGTGAACATGTTGCAATCGTAGTAAAATCAAAGAATTAAAATAAAAGAACCGTTCGGCGTCTTCAAAACTGGCTGTATGGGAAAGAAAATATCAGAGGGATCATTTGCACAGACACTATCCCTGTGCCCTGAATTGGCAATGTAATGGTATCTCTTTTAAAGCGGTAGTAAATTGCGTCCATTATTAAAAAAACAAAAAAAAAAAAAAATCCCCTGCAAGGTAAAGACATAATGTGCTAGTATGCAGTGCGTACTAGCACATTATGTAAAACGTTACCTTAATACAAAGCCCTCCAGTGGCTCGCTGTCACTGCTGTAGAGGCTTCCATTTTCACCTGGTCTTCTTCCAGGTTCATGAGCTTCAGCAGTCTGACTAGCTGGGCCACGATGCCACTCCTGTGCGTGGGAGTTTCGGGACATGGCACGGTGCTCTGAAGGAATGGCATGGGTATGCCGTTCCTTTAGAGTGCATGCACTGGCTGCAAAAAAAACTTGAATATCTCCTAAATGGTGCACGTTTAGGCGATTTTAATTTTAGCTACAGGTAAGCTTTTTATAAGCTTTGCCTGTAGGTAAAAATATGCGAAGTGTGTTTACTACCAAGCAAACCAGATATTCATTTAGGGCAGTGGTTCTCAACCTTCCTAATGCCGTGACCCTTTAATACAGTTCCTCATGTTGTGGTGATCCCCAACCATAAAATTATTTACCCAGTAATTATAATTCATGAAGTGTCGTTTTACCTCCAATACTGCTGCTTTCGACACAGTAGCTGCTTTCGACACAGTAGCTGCTTTCGACACAGTAGCTGCTTTCGACACAGAAGCTGCTTTCAACACAGCAGCTGCTTTCAACACAGCAGCTGCTTTCGACACAGCAGCTGCTCTTTACACATCGGAAATATGTGTTTTCTGATGGTCTTAGGGGACCCCTGTGAAAGGGTCGTTCGACCCCCAAAGGGGTCGCAACCCACAGGTTGAGAACCACTGATTTAGGGTTACAGATACTTGAAGCTATTAGGTCTGCATGACAGCCAGATAGCTACCAATTTCAGGAGGGCGAGGACAACAATTTCTTTTGTACGGGCATTTTTTTAAATTTTTCTATTTGCCACCTCTACCAATTATAGCTGCTTAACCGAGTCTTTAACATCATGAGGGAGAAAAACCCCGACATGGTAGCCGGAGAAAAGAGGAAGTTTGTCATGAAGCCACCTCAGGTTGTCCGAGTAGGAACAAAGAAAACCTCCTTTGTGAACTTTACAGATATCTGCAAACTGTAAGTATCCGCTGGCAAGCTTTTCCTGCTGTTCTGCATTGAAGACATACAGCTCCCCTCGTGTTCTGTAACAACCTTTTCTGCAACGTTCCTTTTACAGATTACATCGTCAGCCAAAACATCTTCTGGCTTTCTTATTAGCTGAATTGGGTACAAGGTGAGTCCTCAAATGATGTCGTTCATAGTATTGATTTTAGAATCAGAGACTGACAGCTGATATCTCATCTGACATAATGTATGCTCATCACTGCTCCAAACATTTGCTCTGCTCACAGGTTGTATTTACAGTAAAATTAAAGCAGCACTTTGTCATCAAGTGTTATTTCTTTATTCTGTTTTGTGTTCGCACACTATGAGACTATACATCACCTTTCCATGAGAAGCTTGTGTGATATGCAGTTAGGGGACCTTGGAAGTAGTGTGTTTTAGCGTACCCTCGAGCCACCAGTGAGAAGTTGACTATGTATATGCTTTTTATTGATTTGTAATTTACTGGTTTATAATGACACTTTTTTTTTTGTTCAATAAATGTTAGATATTCTTGGATAAGACTTGCATGATATTTGCTCAAAGGAGTAAGAATCGGTACACAAACCTGTGTAATGTGAACCAATACTAAAATATTTGAGCAAATTTACATAATTTATTGCAAATGCTGAAATCAGGTGTACGTGTGGTGTGTGTTTTTTTTTTTTTTTTTGTTTTTTTCCATTTCATTTAAAAATAAGGTTTTCAAGGATCTGGCATGCACTCGGTCACATCCCCAGTGCTATGTGTGACGGGAGTCACTTTGTGTGGGGGGCCCATGGAACCCAGCTCACTTTGGAGAGGTGGGGAGACCCCTGTCTCAGCTCCCCATATCCCTACGTGTAAATCACCCTGTGCCTGTTAGGAGTACAGGGTGATCTGTCCTAATATTGTGTGGGCTTTGTCTCAGACTGTGTAGACATGTTTAGGAAATAGGTGGAGGGGGGGGGTTGTGGATTGTTTAATGTTATGTGTATTAGCTTGGGGGGGGGGGGGGGGGTGTCCTGTCTCCAGCAGCCCTCCCTCCTGATGGGACTGTCTACTGGTGTGAAGTTTGAATATCTATGGGTCTCTTGTTCCTAAATTTAGATTGCCCCGCCCTGTGTCATTATGCAGGAAGGGGGGATTGTCCCCTAAGTGTATTTATCTTGTATCTGTGTTCAAATAAACTAGTCTACCTCCTGGTTTACTTTAAGACTGGTGTCGTCTAGTCTTGTATGGTGTCTGTTGTCGGTGTTCGGACGGGGAACTGGTATTCTAACGGAAGTACTCAAGTGCAGTCTGGGTCGGTTTTGTTACACTATGGTATTGGTGAAATGGTGTCTATTACAGGATCTTGGAGAGTTGTGGCCAGGTGGCCAGGAAACTATTTGGGTAGAGACAAACGTCCCCTGAAGTCAGCCCCTTTATAATCCTCTATTGCCAGAGACTGTATGATCAAGCACAAGCTATTCCTAGAATCCTCTTAATAAAGAAGTTGTAGTTAGGAGGCTTTAGCTGTGAAATGCATTGTGACTGTTTATAGGAAGCCTGTGCTGAGAATATGAAGCCTTCCATTGCTGACCTCTCTTTCTGAGAATGCTTGTTGCCTGCCAAGTTGATCTGGTGACTTCCCTATTTCGAGTCTCTGTTTTGGAACAAGCCTGCAGGTCAGGAGTGTTTTTAATCTGACTTCTAGTTTTGAAAGGGTGTCCTTGGTCAGCGATTGAAATGATTGAAGCCAGAGATGGGCATCAGCATTTTCAGAAGGTCAGAAATGGCAGGTCTGTACTTCGTTCAGTATGTTATGGTATTCAGACGTGATGTGACAAAGGTGATAGTCACACAACAGTCAGATCTTTTAGGTGAAAGTAGTATTCACTTTTAGCTGTGTGTTTACACATTTCATTAAATTTTCCCTGTGCTTTTCACATAGTTAGAAAAGTAAAAACATCTAGCCTCTGCTTTTTCTTAAGCTCTGCCTTTTTTTTTATTTACATAGTGGTTCTATAGACGGTAACAACCAGCTAGTCATCAAAGGCCGCTTCCAACAGAAACAGATAGAGAACGTCTTGAGAAGATATATATCAGTAAGTGTTTTGACTTTCAGATTTAAAGTGTGCATCCACTTTTACTTCCAAATGAGAGAAACCCTCTCTTTATGTTTGTGTTCCAATTTACACAGCATACTTTAAAAAAAGTTTTATTTATTTATTTTTTTTATTTGTTTCTTTGGAGTAGGATTATACACAAGACTTTATATCCAGCTTGTCTTGTTCAGAAAAGCTTGCAGTGTGCTTATTTCGGGACAGATTGGTTTAGAAGTATATTAACATGCAATATATCACCCAAGCCTTGCGATCTGTAACCCTTTATTAGTGCAGACCGTATGCACATCTAGTCTACTACTGATAATAAAAATCTTCTAGCACAATAAAACTTGGTTCACACCAAATCCAATTTAAAAGTGGTGCGATTTGGTCCAATTTAAAGCTTGACTTCAAAGTAACAGACACAGGTGCGAATTCATTGCCATTTAGCTTATAGTCTGAGGGTTAAATTGCAGTGAAGTGGTGGTGAAAAGTAATGCAGGAACTATTTTTCAAATTGCGCTAATTGAAATCGCACAGATTGAGACATTAAGTGCCATAGAAATGCATTAAATGTGACTTCTGGTGCGATTTTATTAATTGTATGTCGCAGCGGTGTGAACCAATTCTAAAGACCAGGATTAAATTTTATGGTAATCCGAACTCGCCAACCCCTGTTTACCTTTATATAGAAGAGAAGCTAGGTAGTGTGTGTGTATATGTGTGATATCTCTCCCTCTCCCTCCCTCCACACACATACAGTGCCTTGTAAAAGTATTCACACTCCTTGAAATTTTCCAGATTTTGTCATGTTACAGCCAAAAACTTTAAACGTATTTTATTGGGATTTTATGTGATAGACCAACATAAAGTGGCTCATAATTGTGAAGTGGAAGGAAAATGGTAAATGGTTTTCAAAATGTTTTACAAATAAATCTGTGAAAAGTGTGGAGTGCATTTGTATTCAGCCCCCTGGAGTCAATACTTTGTAGAACCACCTTTTGCTGCAATTACAGTTGTAATTGTTTCTGGGGATGTCTCTACTAGCTTTTCAAATCTAGAGAGAGACATTTTTGCCCATTCTTCTTTGCAAAATAGCTTCGGCTCTGTCAGATTGGATGGAGAGTGTGAACAGAAATTTTCAGGTGTTGCCACAGATCCTCAATTGGATTTAGGTCTGGATAATAATATAAAGAAATAATTATGTGTGTGTGTATATATTTATGTGTGCGTGTGTGTGTGTATGTATATATGTATGTGTGTGTGTATATGTGTGTGTGTGTGTATATATATGTATATATATATATATATATATATATATATATATATACACACACACACATATTATTTCCTCTTCTGAAAAAAAAAGTGTGTATGTGTATATTATTTATATATATATATCTATATCTCTGTTAAACTCATCTTGCTCTTCAAGTTCACTTCACTTCTGTTCTGCCAAGATTTCTTCCTTATATTTTTCTTTGCGTTCAATACACAAGAAAAAAATTAAGTTTTTTTTTTTTTTTTTTTTTCAGAAGAGTTAATAATGTGTGTGTGTGTGTGTGTGTATAGATAGATAGATAGATAGATATATAGAGATATATATTATTATATATATATATATATATATATATATATATATATATATAGATATATAGATAGATAGATAGATAGATAGATAGATAGATAGATAGATAGATAGATAGATAGATAGATAGATATCCTTTTTTTCAGATAAAATTGTAAGCAGCAATTTTAAAGTTATACTGTGTGACTAGAAACAATTCCTAAGTAGGTCTTACTCCTAAGTGACTTAAGAGCTCAAAGTACACTTTTAAAGAATTCCTCTTGTGTTGTTGACTGAGTATTCCTAATGTGCAACAGGGGTGTGTGTGTTTTGGTAGAAAGGACTTTGTCTTTTTTCTGCCAACAAACCTCTTTCCCTTCCTCGTATATAATGTATTAATTGTGCATTACAGTCCTGGCATCAGTAAGAACCAGGTGCCAGGAAGAAGCGTGTGCAGTAGATCATTTATCATAGCACTGAGGGGAAAACTGATCTGTGTTGCTTCTAAGCAAAGAATACCTCTTCTTTCCATTAGGCCCCACTGACACTCTGTGTTGATATACGTTTATGCAGCCTACTCCGTGGGCTTGCAGTGCACCTTTACACACAGAAGATTGTATATGCACTACGTTTAATGCAGTGCACCCCAAAGCACTGGTGGTTCACATCTGTGCTTTGCGCTGTGCTGCCTAGGTGCATTGGGGTTCTATATATTTATAAATGATCCCTCGATGTATAAAGCACAGTGATGCAACATGATCCTTAAAGTAGAACTTTACCCATAACAACAAGAAACATACATTCCACGTTAATCATTATCCCACCAAAATAAGTCTGCTGTAAAATGTCTGTCTTGTTTCTTCTTGCCAGAGGTTGTCATTTTGCTGAAGCCCTGAGCAGCAGTAAAGCTTTAGGCTGTCAGCAGATTGACCTCTACATTTTTGCCACTGTGCTAGATATTAGAGAGCAACTGAGCACGTGCAGAGCTGGTTGGGACAGTGCATTACTGGATTTTAAAGATTTATAGGCATTTATTTCAATGTTTTACAGAGCTATACCTGCAGAAGGGGCCAGCCTAAAGTGACCTGGCAGGACTACATTTTCTGACTAAAGTTCCTCTTTAAGAAAGAGTTGGGATCTTATTGGGGATCTCCTAGATATTTCCGATGTCGAGAACACTGATAAATGCAGTCCAGTGTGTTTTTCGTCTAGATTTCATAGCTGACCACAGCTGCCACCTTCTGGTTTTGATATATAATATTGCAGTGTGCACAGAAAAAGCAGTTGTAAATGTCTGCTATGGAGTTTGGGTAAAATACACATCTATTGTGTAGAAGTAAAAATTAAGTACTCAACACAAAACACAACATAGTCTTCACATTCTATATACTGTTTGTCCATCTACATTGTCATTGTAGATCTTCAAAAACCATGAAGAAGAATTCAGACGTTGATTACTGATTACTCCCCCAAATGTAACATCAGATTTTAAAGCAATTCTAAAGGCTTAATTTTTTTTTTTTCTAAAAATAACAAACATGTTACACTAACCTACTGCATGGAGTAGTTTTGTACAGAGCAGCCTGGATCCTCCTCTTCTCGGGTCCCCCGCTGGCTCTAAGGGCCCTCTCTTCTGTTGGGTGCCCTCACAGCAAGCAGCTTGATATGGGGGCACCTGCTGTTCCGTATGTCCATTCACACACGGAGCCGTAGCTCGGCCCCACCTCCTCTATTCTTATTGGCTCACTGACTGTGATTGACAGCAGTGGAGCCAATGGGTGCCCTCACAGCAAGCAGCTTGATATGGGGGCACCTGCTGCTCCGTATGTCCATTCACACACGGAGCCGTAGCTCGGCCCCGCCTCCTCTATTCTTATTGGCTCACTGGCTGTGATTGACAGCAGTGGAGCCAATGGGTGCCCTCACAGTAAGCAGCTTGATATGGGGCACCTGCTGCTCCGTATTTCCATTCACACACAGAGCTGTAGCTCGGCCCCGCCTCCTCTATTCTTATTGGCTCACTGGCTGTGATTGACAGCAGCGGAGCCAATGGGTGCCCTCCCAGCTAGCAGCTTGATTTGAGGCACCTGCTGCTCTATATGTCCATTCATACACAGAGCCGTAGCTCGGCCCCGCCTCCTTTATTCTTATTGGCTCACTGGCTGTGATTGACAGCAGTGGAGCCAATGACTCCCACTGTTGTCTCAGCCGATGAAAAGAGGAAGTCCTGGGATAGCTGAGACTCCAGTGCACTTCGCTGGATCGAGAGGGGGCTTAGGTGAGTATTGGAGGGGGGGCTGAGGCTGCAGGGGCTTCTTCAAAATGAAGGTTTTTTACCTTCGTGGATTCTATGAGCCCTTCAGCCTTTACAAACACGGTTTAATGTTTAATAAATGATTCTGCTCAGCAATGCTGGCACCATGGATAAGATACAGCTTCACCAGCAGAATGGTTGTTGACTTACAGCCTGGTACTGTTGATTCTGCACAAACATCTGATACTCTGCAATCCATCATTCTTCAATACAAACCTTTTTGTTTGCTTCATCAGCACAGTAATGTGTTCATGGCTGCTATGGAAATCCTGTTTAAACTCACATTACCAATGTGTGAAACTCACCTAATTGATGACCCAGCTGAAAAAAAAAAAAAATCCCTTTACATTTGGCACCCTTCCAGGTGTACATGGGGAACGAGTCAACATTAGGGAACCATGGGTTGCTAGCTATCAAGGTCAATATACGGAAACCCTTACAGGCAGCTATCTCATATATACGGTGCCACAAATGTAAATAAAATAAATGTGATGTGTTGGATGCCTGCTGAATGCTGCGGGGGGGGTTTTTTTTTTTTTTTTCTTTCTTCTTCTGGCCTCTGCAAGACGCAATGGCTGGCTGAAGGAATCACAGATTGCACCACCAGGCACCAAGAAGTGTGACGGATGTTGAACATTCTTCAGCATTATTATCTCTTTAACCGCTTCCAGTCCGGACACTTTCACCCCCTTCCTGCCCAGGCCAATTTTCAGCTTTCAGTGCGATCACACTTTTATAATTGCGCGGTCATGCAACACTGTACCCATATGAATTTTTTAGCATTTTTTTGAGACAGATAAAACTTTATTTTGGTGGTATTTATTCACTACTGGGATTTCTATTTTTTGCTATATAAATTAAAAAGTCGAAACATTTTTTTTTTTGTTTTGCAAATAAATAATTTTTTCTTTTTAGTTTAAAAAAAAAAAAAATTAACCCAAATTAGTTTATAACCACAAATTATAATTTTTCTATAATTTTTTTTTTTTTTTTTTAATTTTTTTATATTTATGGTTTTATTTTTTTTTTTTTTTTTTTACACTGATTGCTTTTACACCCATAACGGCTGTAAAAGCAATCATTTCTCCTCTCTGGCTGCATTCTTTCAGCCATTGAGAACTACTGTTTGAGCTGTGATTGGTCACAGCTTGTCACATGGTACAAGGCTGTTGTGAATAGCCTTGTACCATGTGATCTCTGATCATTCACAGATGTCTCAAGTAGTAAGCAATGTCAGGAAGTGACATCTTGTTTACTACTATTCATGTGATCACTGATTGGCCAATCAGGGATCACATGATCGGAACCTCAGGGATCACACGGTCGGTGTTCTGCTGTGTCCTCTGGACACAGCGGGCACGGCATTGCGGTGCAGCGTGCTCCCAGGGAGGGTTTAAAAATGGCCACCCGCTCCTACGCTGCTCCCGTCCGCCTGTTTTATGTACTTGGGCTGGACAGGAAGCGGTTAAAGACAGCAAAGTTCAGCATTGGGACATTGTTGGGATTTCTTTTGGCCGACAATTTTTAATCAGAACAGAAAAACTGCACCATGTTTTAGGTGCCATTGAAAACAATGGCACCTGAACCTGCGGTTTTTTTTTTTGCGATCACAGCTATTCTGCCGCAATCCCCAAGCCCAGGTGTGAATAAAGCTGCCCCGGTTCACACATGTGCAATTTTGTATGTGTTTTCTAACTCAGATTTGTGTGACAGGCTAGAGATTGTGTTCCTATGGAGGTGGTTGGCACAGATGCAATCCACACGCATTGTGTTTTGAGCGCCATTACGAAAAGGGTCCTGTGCGAGTTTGTAGTGGTGTGTTCCAGATTCGCAAGCAATACAGTAGAGTGGCATGTGGTGATAAGTGTTCACAAAGGATTGCTATTGACAGGGGGTTTTACATTGAAGTCAATGGGAGGCAATTTTGCATGGAAGTCAATGGGAGGCAATTTTGCATGGAAGTCAATGGGAGGCAATTTTGCATGGAAGTCAATGGGAGGCAATTTTGCATGGAAGTCAATGGGAGGCAATTTTGCATGGAAGTCAATGGGAGGCAATTTTGCATGGAAGTCAATGGGAGGCAATTTTGCATGGAAGTCAATGGGAGGCAATTTTGCATGGAAGTCAATGGGAGGCAATTTTGCATGGAAGTCAATGGGAGGCAATTTTGCATGGAAGTCAATGGGAGGCAATTTTGCATGGAAGTCAATGGGAGGCAACAATTGCAATTTTGCATGGAAGTCAATGGGACACAATTGTGCATGGAAGTCAATGGGACACAATTGTGCATGGAAGTCAATGGGACACAATTGTGCATGGAAGTCAATGGGACACAATTGTGCATGGAAGTCAATGGGACACAATTGTGCATGGAAGTCAATGGGACACAATTGTGCATGGAAGTCAGTAGGAGGCAATGTGTAATTCCAGGCGCCAGGACACAATTTCTAGTTGCCATGGGATTTGTCAAGCCCTGCTTTAAGTACAAATCGCCAGTGGCAGCTCTTAAGTTGCCATTTTCTGTCTGGAGTCTGTGATTTGGCTGTGTGAAAACTGACTGTAATGGGGAAACTGCTTTACTTTTGCTTGTCTGTTCATAATCGCACCATTGTCAGAATGTAAATATCCTGTATATCAGAGTAATAACTGTTGAGTCTAAGCGATTTCCTTTGCTTTGTCTTGCAGAGGAATATGTGACCTGTCACACATGTCGGTCGCCAGACACTATCCTACAGAAAGACACCAGGTTATACTTCCTGCAGTGTGAGACCTGCCATTCTCGTTGTTCTGTGGCTAGCATCAAAACCGGATTCCAGGCAGTCACGGGCAAGAGAGCACAACTCCGCGCCAAAGCCAACTAGCCGGCCCGTCCATCAGGTCGGATTTTACCAACTCAGATTGTGGATACTCTGGTGGTATCACCTGACAGTCAGGGAGAGCCGCCTTGTATATTATAAAGAGTGTCGTGAGACTGGGCAAGAAAATCTTTACGTTTTTATTATTTTTTTTTCTTCTTTTCATTGTCTTGCGCAAAAGGAATAGTCTGAAATTCCAAAATGAGGCTGAAAATTGGATAAAGTCATCTCTCACAGAAAGTTTTACCAGCCATCTCAAGGGAAAAAGGGGGAAACATATGCATTTTTAACCAGACTTGTGTAAAATGCAAATTACATTAAAGTTATTATAACATTCACATATCATGTACATACTGTGTCTTTATGTGCTTTTCACCTTTTATTTCCTGTATAGTATTCAGGTTACTATTAAATAATGAGAACTGTTCAACTACTGTGATGATGTTCTTGTGTAGGCCCTTTATAGTGTCCAAACACTAGACGAAAAATCGTTCAGACTTCTGTCATTTGGGCAGTATAATCATTTTTCGGCCAGTTAATGGGCACATATCAGTAATTGTTTGATTTGGAGCCAAAAAAACCGAAGGAAAAGTTTGGAAAACTTCTGCCAAATGGACAATAAATTGAAAAGGTTAACGTGTTCATCCGTTTTAAACGTATGGTTGCTGCTGTGCATGTGTGAAAAAAAATATAACCCGGAAAATAACTATTCGTGTCAACGAACGGTCATGCTATAAGGCAATAGTACACACTACAAACATTATTATTATACAGGATTTATGTGGCGCCAACAGTTTGCACAGCACTTTACAGTATAAAGGGAGACAGTACAATTATAATACTTTCAGTACAGAAGGAATGTGAGGGCCATATAACATTAGCCTTCACCTTTTTGTTCTGGGCTCCTCTGTTGTATCGCCATCATGTCAAGAATTTCTATGGCAATGATCCCCACATCCATACCAAAGGTGAGGCTAGAGCAGGGGCGGACTGACAAGTCATGGGGCCCCCGGGCAATAGGGGATCATGGGGGCCCCTGTGTCCTTGCCCAAACTCAAAAAAGCCTATGAAAAAGGTACCAGGGGCATCTCATGGGGCCCCCTACTGACCCCGGGCCCTCGGGCAGTGCCCGAGTTTCAAAATGGTCAGTCCGCCCCTGGGCTAGAGAGATGCTTGCCATGCATAAGGTTCCTTGTGACAAACGCACGTTGCTCCTCTGGGTGTATAGGGAACACACAGGTGGAGGTGGAAAGGTCAAATTTCATCTCTTCCTCTTCTTTTTTTTTTTATGCAAAAAAAGCTCGATAAATCAATTTATGTCCGTAAACGATGTATTGACTGAAAATCGGTCATTACATGATGGCAATATCGTTTGCTCTCACGTTTTTTTTTTTTTTTTTTTAAAGCACATTGGAACTATTTTTCGACTAGTGTATGGCTAGCATTAGACTGTGCTGGAGGAGGAGCCACACACGGGGCTGGGAAGGGTCCCTGCTTTAAATAACACATTTTATAAATTAAAGTGTGGTACATTATTCTGTATGTATTATGTTCTGTATTGGCAGGTATGTGCTTACACAAAATAGGATATGTATTTTGTTCCGAGACTGAATACAACAAAAGGTAAGGAGAAATTCATGTAGCTTGTAGATGTCTGCAGAAATGATCGGGTGCTTTTACAATCACCTGACTCGCTTCTTTATAAAAGTAAATAGCTGGCTGTTTAGATTTTAAAACCTGCTCACATCTATTGCAGCCATGAGTTTGTTGTAACCCTTTGCAGCAAATGACATTAACAGAAGCATCACAAATCTTAAACTATCCCGCTGAAACTAAAAGAAAAACAATTTTAACCACTTCCCGACCGGACCGTTGCATATAAACGGCCGGACGGTGGCAGTGCAGGGTCGGGTGGCCGTTTATAAACGGCCTCCCCGCACCCTGCTTGTGCGCGCTCCCTCGGAGCGCACAGCACCGCGATCCGGTGCCCGCTGTGTCCTCCGGACACAGTGAAACACCGATCGTCGGACGGGACCTCTGTACGAGGTCCCGATCATGTGATCACTGATTGGCCAATCAGTGATCACATGAAAAGTAGTAAGCAAGATGTCACTTGTGACATCATTGCTTACTACGTGTGAAATCTGTGAATGATCACAGAGGTCACATGGTACAAGGCTATTCACAAAGCCTTGTACCATGTGACAAGCTGTGACCAATCACAGCTCACTCAGTACTTCTCAATGAGTGCAAGAATGCACACAGAGAGAAAGAGAAATGATTGCTTTTACATCCTATATGGGTGTAAAAGCAATGTGTAGAAAAAAAAAAAATCTTCATCACCCCCCACAAGTAGTACAGTGTCACCATGGTGACACTGTACTGCTAGGATGACAGTATGTAAAAAAAAAATAAAATAATATAAAAAAATGAAATAAAAATGTTTAAAAATTATAATTTTTGGTTATAAACTAATTTGGATTTTTTTTTACTAAAAAGATAACGGAATAAATTTTGGCAAAGATTTATGATGAAATATTTATTTGCAAAATTTTATTTAAAAAAAACACTTTTTTTCTAAATTTTTGGACTTTTTCAATTACATAGCAAAAAGAATAAAAATCCCAGCGGTGAATAAATACCACCAAAATAAAGCTTTATCTGTCTCAAAAAAATGCTAAAAAATTCATTTGGGTACAGTGTTGCATGACCGCGCAATTGTATTTCAAAGTGTGATAGCGCTGAAAGCTGAAAATTGCCCTGGTCAGGAAGGGGGTAAAAGTGTCCGGTCTGGAAGTGGTTAATACAGTTATCCAAAACTTGTTGGCACAACTGAAAGATTTGGTGTGATGGTTTATACAAGTATAAAATCCAGTTACTATGAAATGTACAGGCCTCAGAAAATACTGCCCTAATTAAGCTGTATCCGCCTTCATTTGTGTTCAACACAAACCCACCCCCCAGATACAACAGCTCATAGAGGTAGGGTTTTAGTAAGAATGGAAATGATGCAAATCCAGAATGCTGTGGATAGAACTAGGTGTGGCCAGGCACTGACTGACAAGCTTCTAAATAGGCAGAGATAATCTGAAATCTATGTTCCTTGCAACATTTTGTTTTTTCATCCCACTGTAATATAAGCAGCAACAGTTTACATGAGGGTGGCAACACTTCTGAATTTAGGAGCAGTGCAGCATCATTGCTGCCTCATCACAGGAAGCTGCATTAGGTTGGAATTCAGAGGCACACTCAATAGGTATTTGTGAGACTTTGCAGGGGGATTAAGAGAAAACTGTAAGTGCAAAAACTATTAAAGTATATGTAAACCTTAACATTTACCTTCTCTGATTTGATCCATTTTGGTCTGTTAAATATACCATTGAAAGCTCACAGTGAGCCACACATGCATACAGTGGGGGAAAATAATTGATCCCCTGCAGATTTTTGAAAGTTTGCCCAGTTGCAAGGAAATGAAGGTCTATCATTTTTATCATAGGTGTATTTTCAATGCTGGAGACAAAATATCAACCAAAAGTCCAGTAAAAAAAAAACACGATACAAATATTACTGAACAGCAACTCAATTTATAACATGTTATTGATCCCCAAGCAAAACATCACTTAGTACTCGGTGAAGAAACCCTTGTTGGCAAGCACAGAGGTAAGATTTTTCTTGTAGTTGGTTACCAGGTTTTCACACATCTCAGGAGGGATTTTGGTCAACTCTTCTTTACAAATCTTCTCTAAATCTTTAAGGTTTCTTTGATGTTACTTGGCAACTCAAAATTTCAGCTCCCTCCATAAATGTTCTGTAGGATTAAGGTCTGGAGACTGGCTAGGCCACTCCATGATCTTCGTGTGCTTCTTCGTAAGCTACTCCTTTGTTGCCTTGACGGTATGTTTTGTGTCATTGTCATGCTGAAAGACCCATCCACGACCCATCTTCAGTGTTCTGGCTTAGGGAAGAAGGTTCTCATCCAAGATTTTACAATACATGGCCCCGTCCATTGACCCCTCAGTGTGGACCTTTTAGCAGAGAAACCGCCCCAAAGCATAATGTTTCCACTTCCGTGCTTGACTATAGGGATGGTGTTCTTGGGGTCATAGTCAGCATTATTCTTCTTCCAAACACCACAGCGAGTCGAGTTAATGCCAGATTTGGTCTCATCTGACCACAGCACTTTCTCCCGATCCTTTGAATCATTTTAGATGTTGGCAAACCTCAGACGTGCCTTCTTGAGAAGGGGGACCTTGCGGGCGCTCCAGGGTTTCAATCCATGGCATCATATTGTGTTACCAACGGTTTGTTTGCTGACTGTGGTCCCAACTGCCTTGAGATTCACAAGCTCCCGTGTGGTTCTCGGCTGATCCCTTGCTTTTCTCATGCTTACCCCATGAGGTGAGATCTTGCATGGAGCTCCAGACCAAGGGCAGTTGATGGTTATTTTGTATTTCTTCTATTTGCAAATAATCAGCACAAAAGTTGTCTTCTTGCTGATGATCTTGTAGCCCATTCCAGCCTTGTGCAGGTCTACAATCTTGTCCCTGATGTCCTTTGACAGCTCTTTGGTCTTGCCCATGGTGGTGAGGTTTGAATGGAAGAAAGTTTCTGTGGACAGGTGTCTTGTAAACACATAACAAGTTGTTTAGGAGCACCTTCTTACATTGATAGCACTAATCTGTGTACCACATGAGCACATAGCCAGTCTGTGGGTGCCAGAATTATTGGTTGGTAGGGGATCAAATATTTATTTTACTTACTGAACGGCAACTCAGTTTATAACATTTGTATCGTGGTTTTTCTGAAATTTTGGTTTATATTCTGTCTCCTATCATTTAAATACACCTATGATAAAAATGATAGACCCTTCATTTCTTTGTAAATAGACAAACTTACAATATCTGCTTTTTAAGGACAAAGTGGACTAAAAGTAGTTATTCTTTAATAAATATTTTGCATTGATTTATAAAAGTGGAACCATGCTCTGAATGAATCTGGTAAAATAT